ATAATTTTTAATTACTTCCTTTGATTATTAATAAAAATATTAATTCCGTTAAGTTTCATAAAGGCCAGTATAAAAAGTATATCCTTAATTTACATTATATATATATATATATATATATATATAGGAAAAAATAACAACAACAATAAATGATTAAGAAGTTTCTGTATTTTCGTAGTTTTTGTTCTTTGTATTTAATTTTTTTTAAATGTGAGCTATATTGATTAAAGTTAAACGACTACTGTTTGACCTATGGACTTGTTGACAGGTTGCTGTGTTTTAATAGTAAATTAAAGTAATAACAACAAACTTTTGAGATATTCATTTTTATTTTTTTTTTTGAAACAAATATTATCAATATATATTGAGTTTAAAAAAGATTTTTATATTTTGGATTTATCATTTTTCAATTAAAATGGCGGTCGATGATAAATTGTTGACCGTGACGTCTTAAATCTTTATTGAAGAAATGTGTCATTTTTTTTCTTTTTCTTTGATTACGTTACAAATAAAGCCAAAATTTTATTAAAAAGCAGACATTTAAATTAATTTGCATGCGGTTTTAAGTTGTTATTCAGGCAAATTTTGTCCAAGAATTTTCATTTGACAAATGATATAGTTCTACTGGGTATGAGACTCATTTTTTTTTTTTAGAATACTATATAAGACCAACTGTTGAAACAGAAGGAATAGTACGGCTAGTGTTAAATGCAGTGAGCTGGTTGTGTATTAAAAATCATTAACAATTTTTTATATAAAAAAATCAAAGATTGTTTTTTAATGTTTGTAAACTGATGTCGTTTAAAAAAACAAAAAACAGTAAATTGTTTTTCATTTTATTTTCCAGCAATTAGTATCGTTCGAAGATGTTTTGGAAGATACTAGAAAGGGGAATGAATATTATTACTAAACTATGAAACAAGCGTCAGTTGATACAAATATTTTCATTATAAATTTATTCTTGCTAAATAACAAAAAGAAGTTAATATTCACTTTGTCGTGAATAATTAAACTTCATTACTGAAATAAATCTAAAACTCTGCAAACGCCATAAAGCAAATACACATCGTCAATTTATGTTCCAAGAGGAATTAGAAATCTCAGCCACCCATACGTCTTCACTGATGGATCAAAATACAAAAGTGAAACAGAATCTTTCAGTGTATAACTAGAAAATAAAGAAATGTTTAGCATTTAAAAAGAAACTTCCTTTTTCAATTTTCTGATTTTTTTTTGTACAATTTTTTTAGCTTTTCGGCTTCAATTTAGAAACAATTTTAAAAATATGTTAATATTCTCCGGATATAATTCTATCAGTTATTTAAAAATAAAAAAAAAAAAAAACATGACAACCCACTACTGGTGAAATTGCTATACCAGACTAGATTTATTTTCGTTTTAAAAAAAAAAAAAAGTCTTTTTGTTAGATCACAAGCCAATAGGAATTAGAGGTAATGCTCAATTAGATTCAACCGCAAAATCTACCCAAAACGAAATTCCTGATAAAAATTTTCAGATCCCTTTATAGACCTAAAAAGTAAAACTATCGCAGTTAAATTCAACAAAAATGGCAAAAGTCCTTGGACCAACAATACAATAAATTTCTCAATCAAATGCTCAAAAATAGGGGCTTTCCTCATCCATTCATACTTGTTGAAGAATGAAGATAAAATCAAAATGTACAACATACCCATTGAAAACTCAATAAAAAACATATTTTAACTGAATGTGTAGTGGTGCTGTAAGTATTGTTGGCTAGGGTCACCGTGAATATAATAAAGAAGGAAGGCTGTGTTCTTGTAAAACAACACCCCACATGAATAATGCACAACAAACACGAGAGAAAGATAATCAAGCTCAGTGAACATTAATAAAATATTGTATTAACAATGATATACAAATTATCAACAATAGTATTAAGAAAGTTGCTTCCCCTTTTTCCGTAATAAAAAAGGGTAAGTTTAGCTAATTAAATGTTATTTGAGTACAAAAATTGAATGTAAAGCTAAATAAAGAATAGTTCTACAAAGTTCAATTGAAGTTCTTAGATATAAATAAAGAATAGTTCCGAAAGTGTTTTATCAGTGTAGAAAAATGTAATGTTCAAGAGTGATATCTGGCTGTTGGCGAGAGTCTTTATATAAGAAGTTTTAGGCTCCGGATGGCTTGGCGCCAAAATATAGAAGAGATACTAAAATACGCGATTGGTCAGGAAATGGACCAATCCGTGATTTTAGAGAAAATTTTGAATTACTTGCGATGGTTAAATTGTCCTATAATAAGTATCATGTATTTATTACCCAATGACAATAAAGAAAACGGAGGTGTGGCACATGTAAGTCAAAGTGATTCCCACAAATGTACTCACTTAACCCCTATAAGACATAAATACTACAAGGAAACAAACACGAGAAAATTATTTGAAAATACTGAAACCGTCAACATAATGTCCTACCTTAAAGAAATAAGTCGATACCAAAATATATAACACCTACAATAGACCATCTACAAACTACAAAACATAGATTTACTCTGAAAATATAAAATTATGTAAAAAATATATCAGTAATTGAATGCATAAAATTGTTTACAAAATATTTAGATTTTGGCATTAAATAACTCATAGGGGTCATAATGCCTGCTAAACAAAAATAATCAAGTCTCTGCTTCTTTTAACTTTCAACCTGCCATGGATGCGCATAGTTTTCTTTGGTAGCTATACCAGTGATACAAAAAGAAATAGCGGAGACAGAATATAAGAGACGCAACATATAAACGGTGCCAGTCTAGACTAACCCGAGAAAGTGCAAGTAGTCAGGAGCAAATTAGAGCGCAATTGGCTAGGGATGGTGTGTATGTTTGTGTTTTTTACTGTACCAGAGCCAGAAAGAGGGAGACTTTAGATCCGATTCAAGGCACAGTGAAGAGAGCGACATGCAAAAGAATTTAATGCAGAAGGGGAAACACGTCGTATCAGGGATTGAGACCATCATCATTTACGACGCTCACGGGAATCCACTTCTGTGAAAGAGAAACATTTTGAGAGATTACAAAGAGAGGGAAAGACGGAGGAAGGGCAATAGCAACTGAAAGAAAGAAAAGTGCGCAGCCTTCTGCTACAGTTCAAGCGCAGATTATTACATTGATGCCAAAATCACCCTTGGGCAAATGAAAATGCCCCCCTCCCTTACTGTTCTGCAAATAAGTGGCTAAACGAGTCTACAGAGGTGCACTTTTTGGATGGTAAACTGAAACATTTGCAGTTATGAGAATCCGCCAGAGTATTTGAGATCACTGATTTACGATTGATTGATCAATTAATTAGTTTTTTATGGTTTATCAACCTTTTTCAGGTTATTTAAAGCCAGAAAATATTTTCTGTTGTAAGAATGTTGTTTTGGAGATAGTAATGATTTACCGATACGCGTAAGTGAATATAATTAATCCGACTGGAATTGAAATTCGACTCTTCGATTTCCAATTCTGAGCAGTTATCCATTACACCACCCGCACATCCAAGCTTACAGCTTATCAATCATTTTGGGCCATTTAATACCGAAACCCAAATATTTTGTATGCAATTTTATTTTATTTTGTAGTTGTTTTTATTTTTTTTTTTTTTATTTAATAATAGAAGTTTTACTAATTAATCCATAGCTGAGAGCATAAGAGATGAATTCATAGCTTTCCCGAGGGTTATTTGCGTGTAAGTAAATATAACGAACCCAACGGGAATTGGAACTCCGTTCTCTGATTAACAAATCCGATCCGTTATCCATTACATCAGCCGCACATCCAAACTTACAGCACCTGACATTCCCAAGCGGTAACCCATCTCGGTACTGACAGAGTTCACTGTTGCTTAACTTGATTGTACGAGAACCGGTGTTTCAACATGCTACGTCCGCAAGCCGGTAGCACACTGGATAAAGAAAGCAGCATTATCACGGATGCCGAGGTAACTAACTACAACAGCTTTTTGCCATCATGCTGGTCTTTGTCTCATTAATTTCGATTATTTTGAACTGAGCTTAACTTATACACTTTTTACTAATCAAAAGACTCTCCACAAATTCATCTTTAAGAAATGTCTTACGTGTTATTAATTTTTGAAAAACATTTCTTTCTTTTTTTTTCTTTTAATTCTTAGATGTTCAAAGAACTTACACGAAGTAATCTCAACATCCAACTAATCTCTAACTAGTATTACTTTCATATTATTTTTGTTGCTCTTTATTATTATTTAATAATATTAGATAAAAAAATACTAATTCAAAAATTAAAATGAAGCATCAGTCAAAAATTAATAACAATTGGTATTATTAATTTAAGAAGTTCAAACATCTAATACTTTTTTATGCTTCGTGTCTTTTGACGGCGTAGTTCATCACAATTCCCCAGAAGTGCAGACTTTTTCTTTTTTTTTTCTAACTGATTTGATTTTACCTTTTGCCGTCCTTTTTTCTTCATTTTTTTTTGTCCTTGTTCTGTCATCCATTCACTCATCAAATTCGTTAGGTAGATTTTTCTCGCTCTTCTCTTGCCTTCAATATGACCCGTAAATGTTAACATCTTGAGCTCTCTCTTTTTTTTCTTTACGTGTCCTAGAAATGTCAAGCGTCTCTTTCTGGTCTAAGTACAAATGTTCTTATAGTTCCTATTTTTCTTCAAACTTCCTCGTTACTCATATGTTCAGTTCATTGTATTCTCGGTATCCTGCCTCATCATCCTCTATGAAGAGATTGTCAATCGTTCACTGCCATATCGGAGATAAGAAGACATTTACGTAACAGTTCAACTCTTCTTTGTTTCTAACGAGATTTTTCTATCGCTTAATACTTTGCTTAGTTTCTGGAAGACACCTTAGGCTATTCCTTCATATTTCTGTGTGACATTTCCGTTGTCTGTTGATGCACTAACCAGATGTTTAATTTCTGCACCTGCTTGATGTTAACATCCTCAATATATAGCTCACATTTTCTGATAACCATGGATTTTGACTTACGGTAATGTCACGTTTAAACACCAGTTCTCATACGATCACCGAAGTTAAGCAACGTCGATCATGGTCAATACCAAGATGAGTGACTGCTTGGGAATAGCAGGTGTTGTAAGCTTGCATGTGTAGGTGATGTAATGGATATCTGAAAGCCGAGTTCCAATTCCAGTCGCGGTTAATTTTATTCACTTACGCGCAAATACCTTTGGAAAAAGTATGAATCCATCGCTTCTCCCCCACCTATGGGTAAATTAGGACCTGTATCAGTAAATAATTTTTATCTCCAAAAATAATTTATATTCTAAAAATATTTTCCAGTTTAGATAACCGGTAAGAGATTGATAAACCGTAAAAAGCAAATCAATCAATAAGAAAAGATGAATTTTGTTGTCTTACAGTTAATAGGTAGTCCTTTGTTCTCGCTTTCTTTTACTACCTTATCTATAAGTTCTTCTAGGTTGGCCATCAACACAGTGTCATCTGCGTAGCTTTTGTTGTTAAAACTGTATCATAAATCTTGGTAGATCTTCTAAGGTTCGTCTCGCTATATAAGTTAATAAATAAATCCGTTGAGAACACGTATATTCGTCTTATCCCTCTTTCTATTCTTGTCTATTACTCTAGCGGCTTGGATTGATGTATCGGAGAGCCGAGTTCGAATTCCAGTCGAATCCATTACATTCACTTACGTGCTAATACCCTTAAGAAAGGTATGAATCCGCTTCTTCTCCCCCCAACTATGGATAAATAGCAGGACAGACCGGGTTCTATAGCCTTGGACGGCAACTGGTCTACCGCAGAAAGAAATGGCAACCTACTGTGGGGAAAAAATCTGCCTCGTCAGTCATGTATCAAAAGATACATGATCGCCCAAGCGTGTATCATGCATGGCACATAACTGACTGACTGATTCTATTTATTAATCGAAAAACACGAATATATCTCAACCTTTGCTCTGCTCTATCACCAACTATTTTAGCCATGACAAATCTCCCCACGATCTTTCCCAGATTGTGATATTTTTATTTTATTTATTTATTTATTTATTTATGTTTGGTTTCACTTTTCCTCTGCACAATTTGGGTTACTGCGAACTTTTACAATAATGGATCATACGCAATATAGGTGAACGATTCAACTAGAAAAAAATGAAAAATAAATCCAATGTATCTAAATTTCAAATGTCATATAGATCATTCCATCTTAAATAAATCAACAATGTTTTGTGGAAATTTTTAACGTCAAGTTGGGATTTTTCTTGTTAGACTTTGAATAATTTCAATATGATGGATAAAAATAGTGAATTTTATATAGTTTTTTTTTTTTTTTTTTTCAAGTCTTAGCATTAACAGAACAAATTCACGGCTTTGGACAAACAAATGAAAGAACCCAGAATTAATGTCAAAATCTGAGAAAATTTTTCAGCATTTAGTAGTCAGTTGTGCTTAGTTTCACTTGTAATGTATATAAATGTAGGTAGAAAAAAAAAGCAAATGTTGATAAGATGGTAAGGGTCACAAAGAACAGCCTGGGGCCCCCAATCAGGATTGAGCCCCCTCAGCCGATAGGCTCGGGGGTAGTAAGTACCGACCCTACCTTTTGATGGGGCATATCACGAGTCCTGTTTTCATTAAAAAGAATAAAAATTCGTACTTGAAATCTGTTCAAAGTAACTTAATTTTCTCAAATTCAAAATAAGACCCACCTCTTTCCCCAAAATAACGTCGGCTGAGATAATCTATAAAGAAAGATGGTGACATGATGTTTTATAGAAAAGATGCTTTGAAATGGCCATAAGGTTGATGTATAGTACATTCGAGTCTTTCGTGATCATATGTTGAAACATTGGTTCTCGTTTGATCACCGTAGTTAAGCAACGTTGAGCCTGGTCTGTATTGAGATGGGTGACCGCTTCAGCATACAAGGTGCTGTATGTAAGCTTGGATGTGCAGGTGGTGCAATGGATAACAGCTCGGATTTGGAAAATGAAGAGCCGAGTTTCAATTCCAGTCGGGTTCATTATATTCACTTAAGCGCAAATACCCTCGGGGAAGATAACAAACCACACTTCACTCTCTAACTATGGGTTAAGTTGTAGTATCAGTAAATCGTTATTAACTTCCAAAAACGTCTTACAATTTTAAAATATTTTCTAACTTTAAATAACCCGCAAAAGGTTGATAAGCCGTAAAAAAAAAATCAATCTAGTAAAATAATATGAACTAATTTTAAGTGTGTAATTTTTCCTCGCAGCTCCTTCCACTCAAAACACTTTAACAACGGGCCCGTTTGAAATCGCCAATTATTTTCAGTTTAAAATCAAGAGAAACTATATACCTATTTTTATATATAATTTCAGAAGAGAATCCAAATAATACAGTTTTTTAAGTTAAGCTGAATTTGTTAAAACTTTATAAGCACGTCACATCGCAGATATTTGTGCGTGGTTTTGCTTTTCTTCATTTTTTTACGACGTTTAATTTACTGCTTGTTCAAATAACACTAACAGCAATGCTGAGTGAAGAGTAAGGTTTGCAGTGGCGGATGATTTCGTTATGACTTTTCACAAATGATATTAACACAGGAGATTATATTACAAGTCGTCCTTTCATTCGTTCATCAAAATTAGAAGGCGGGTCCGTGTGACACCCACCTCATATTCAGTTCTCTATGAGTTAAAATTAATATCCTGGTGCCCATTGACGTGAAAAAAACACACCCTCTTAGAAAAACAAACTACAGCGAATGTAAAACTATTACTGACCTCATTAAGATTAAATAAAAAGTAAATTTTAATACAGTCGACTTTTCCTTTTTTTTTTTTTTTTTTTCAAGAATAAAGGATTAAACTAATTAATTATACAAGAAATTATTACAAGTTTGAAATATTTACATTTTAAATTCGATTATTTCAAATAATGTAGGGTTTTAAGATTTAAATGGGAAAAATAAATGTTTTATGCGTTACTATGAATTTTCAGGAATGTTACGGAATATTTTGTGAATAAAATTTTTGATAAATTTTTAATGAAATATTCAAGAACTGTTTCTGTTTGTTTACCTCACTAATTATTGTGCTAGATCCGCCTTCAATAAGCAATTATTATTATTACTATTATTATTTTATCGAACCTAATTACAATTAACGGTAAAGTAGTAATAATACTTCAGTTATGATCAGTTAGGCTTGAGGTGTACGTCAAAATATTAGGATTGTAACGAAATTGCATCATTAGTCAATTAAGCTTATTCAGTTGTTTTAGTTTTAATTCAAGTCATCGACTTCCTCCAGAATCGTAGTTAGGTGAACGGTAATTAAGCCACTATTTCTTGTATGCAATATGCTGTTCTAAAGCCGTCCTGGGTATGACGACAAACTACATCCGCGTCCTGGGTAAGACGATAAACTACGTCCAACAGCAAGACCTCTGTTCAGGAGGTTTTGAGGAGCGTGGTTAGGGTCCCAGCTATGGGCAAATAGTTAACACCCAAACTTGGGTCAAAATACTACGAAAGTGTAAAAATAGTTTTTAATACCAGAAATGCTTTATAAAAAAAAACTATTACCAGCAATACATTTTTTTATTTTTTATTTTTTTTAAAAAATACCAGCAGTAAAAATTTTGTCAACATTAAATAACCCATTGAGATTGATATGACGTAAAACAAACCAAACTGAAACGGAACTGTTCTAAAGTGGGCAGCGGCCAACCTACCTGAAGAGCTTGTGTAGATGGATAGCGGAATGGAGGATGATCTTTTGCAAAGAAAAAAACATAACACTAAAGGCAACAAAAAAAAAGGTAATAGAGAATCATGATCGCCCACGGCTTGAAGGGACACGGCGCATAGAAGAAGTTACATCTAGTAAATAGTTAAAAAAAAAAAAAGCTTCAAATATCTCTAGTCTCTACGTTTCATCATTTGGCTACTCGATTGTTAGATTTTATTATGCTAGTCAATATTTCCACAATAATTGAATTGGTATTCACTAAGTAATGTTCGTAAAACTCTGTGATCATATTCATAAGAGTAATATGTCATGCAATAGTACACACGCGCACATATGTATGTGCGTGTACTAGATGACAGTTGAGTTGACATAATAGGAAGGTTCATTTAGTTTTGTCGTCGATGATCCGAACATTTTTAAAGCTACAAATAAAACCCAACAAATGAAGAAGCTGAACAACAACAATCTGCATTAAAAGTTTTGTCATTATTCAGTCAGTTATGTACCATGCATGATACACGCTTAGGCGATCATGTATCTTTTCGATACATGACTGACTAGGCAGATTTTCTCCCACAGTAGGTTGCCATTTCTTTCTGCAGTAGACCAGTTGCCGTCCAAGGCTATAGAACCCGGTCTATACTGCTATTTACCCACAGCTGTGAGGAGATGAAGAGAATTCATACCTTTCCCAAAGGTATTATCACGTAAGTGAATGTAATGGATTCGACTCGAACTCGGCTCTCCTATTCCTCAATCCGAGCCGCTATCATTAACTCCACCGTGCCTCCTGTTATTATTACTGGATAAAAGCAGTCGCAAACTGATATGAGCATCATCGTGAATCTGTAGTTGATGGAGAAGATGTTACTATCCTCTTGGATTTTCTATCCGCGCAGATCAGACAATGCAAGCAAATCGCCAAGACTTAAAGACAGAAAATGATATGATCATACCAGGGGACATAAATATCTCTGTGAAGGTTTCTGAAAAACTAAGCAAATACAAAGGCCTGAAGATGAAAATAGAAAAAAATATGGTACTTAAAAACTAGAACTGCTCCTGTTGTGGTTGGAGCTTTGGGTCTGATAAAGGAACTCAACAAAGAAATCCACAAAATCTATTGTTTACCATTTCTCCAGGAAATAAAAAATACAAACACAGTCCATATCCTGCGAAGAGCGTTTTTTTTTTTTTGTTTTTTTTTTTGTTTTTGTTATTCTTTAATTAAATGGAAACAACAATCACATCCTTCGCTTCCCTAAACTATTGGTTATCATCCGGTATCTGATTATAAAACTAATGCAGGTCAAAAAGAATAATAATAATAATAATAAAAGCCGAAGCCAAAGGTTTTATTCTGGCTGCACAGGACCAATGCTTACTAAGTAGAAATTACCAAGGACATGTACTGAAAAGTTGTGTTAACTCAAAATGCAGATACTGTGATAAATATTCAGAAACAATTGATCATCCTGTACCAAGTTGCATGTTGTTAGAACCAACTGTACCAAGTTGCATGTTGTTAGCACCAACTGAATATAAAACTGAGCACGATAGAGTGTGCCAATATCTGCACTGGAAAATATGCAACCTTTACAGGAAGGAAACTGCAAGAAACTGGTAGGTACATCACCCAGGTCTGGTTACAGAGATATGACCTGTAACAATTTTATGGGACTTTACAATACACATATGGCAGTCCCTGCAAATTGTAATATATCTTGGAAGATCTTTAAAAAAACAACAAAATACAAGGATCTTGAAATGGAAATCTAAAAAATGTAGCACATGAAGACATCAATAATTCCAGTTTTAATTGGAGCCCTCTGTTTGATTGAAAAAGGTTCTGATAGACTCATTGAAGGGATTCCTGGTAGCCCATGCATTAAAGAAATATAAACTGCAGCTCACACCTTACGAAGAGCTTGTCTATGTAAAATATGTGTGATCTTAGATTGTGTTTTTTGTTGATTTTTTTTTTGTTTTTTTACAAAACTGTTTAGTGAAAAATGTCACGATGCCATTTCTGAACTTAGGTCTCTGGTTGAGGACCGGAAAGAAATGTATATACAACAGAAATTAAATAATAATAATAATAATAATAGGTTCATATGACTGCAAAGATCAACTATTGATAAAATGAACCTGGAAAATTGCAGGAGACGTTGTAGAAATCTATTATCGTAAAGCCTTTGATAGTGTGCCACACTCTTGGATCCTTAAAACTTTGGAAATATACAAGGTTTCCCCTGTGGTGGTAAATTTCCTTAAGCACAACATGGGAATGTGGATCAGCACACTATACCTAAATCACACCAGAGGCACTACCATCTCCAACCGTTCGAATATCCGACGCGGAATCTTTCAAGGAGACTCCCTCTCACCCCTTCTGTTCTGTTTGTCCTTAACCCCACTTACGCATGAACTAAACAACAGTAGCTATGGTTACAAACTAGACAAAAAAAATATTCAATCACCTACTCTACATGGATGACCTCGAACTCTTTGCCAAAAACGACAATGAGTTGAAGGGCCTCCTCAGTATTGTAAAATGTTTCAGTGACAACATAAGTATGGACTTCGGATTAGATAAATGTGCAAAAGTAACATTCAAGAAAGGGAGAATTATAGAAACAACCTCAATAGATTTAGAATTTGTCACAAAGATTAGGGAACTGAAACAAGATGAAGCCTAGAAGTACCTAGGAATTAGCGAAGGTGATGGTATACAACATACCCAAATGAAGGAGAAGATAAGAAAGAAATACTACAGGCGTGTGCGTCTGATACTAAATACCGAGCTGAACTAAAACAAAACAGAATATCAGCCATAAACACCTTGGCTGTCCCTTGTGGTGCAATACAGTTTCAACATCCTTAACTGGATCATCGCTGACATTAAGCGAATGGACGCCAAAACGAGAAAGCTTCTCACTTGCTACCGCATGCATCATCCCAAAGCTGATGTTGATCATCTGTATGTGCCAAGATCCAAAGGAAGTTGAGGATTAGTTCAACTAGAACTGTCCAACAAAACTACAATAATTGGCCTTCAAAGATACCTGGAAACCACAGAAGACTGGATGATGATATGTGTCAAAGAACATGAAAATAGTAACCGCTTTTATTCAGTAATACAAGAAGCCAACAAGTTCAAAATGGAGTTTCAAATGGATGCAGAAATACAAGTAAATACAC